GTCCATTCACAGTGCCACAAAACCGTTACATTTCCTTCAGTCTGGATTGGTCATCAAACATCTATTTTACTCTCATTTTGCAGAACTTTGTCTGAAACCGTGGATGTTATTTCATTTCAAATTCTCTTCGAAGTACCTTTTAGATGACTTAAGGCATTACTCTGCTACCAGCAGTTTAGACAATGAGTTGCATATACCCACAAACTCTCAGTGAAAACAATTTTGTGCAAATTTTCTAAATTTCCTGCTCTTTATCTTAAATCTATGCCTCCAACTTATTGAACTCTATATTGAAGGGAAATCTCCATCTCAAACTCATAGGCCACCCTCATTATTTTGTACACCAAAATCAGTACCCTTCAGCCTTCTCTGCTCTTAGGAAAACAATGGACTGACACAGTTAATGAAAAGGCCCTGAGGAAGTTTGTCAAACAGCGAGACCGAAGAGTGCAGGTGCATTTTTTTGTTAAAAATTGCATCAAAGTTGACAGGGTGATAAAGAAGGTATTTGGCATGATTCCCTTTATTGCTGAGACCATTGCATATAGGAATTGGGATGTCATGTTGGGGTTGCCCAGGACATTAGTGCTGCCACTTTCAGAGTGCTGTGTACAGTTCTGCTCACCCTGCTATGGGGAGGATATGCTGAAATTGGAGAGCGTATAGAATAGATTTACAAGGATATCACCAGGACAAGAGGGTTTGAGGTATAAGGAGAGGCTGGAGAGGCTTGGTCTTGTTTCTTGGAAATAAAAAGTTTGAGGGGTGACCCCGTAGAGGTTTATAAAATCATGAGGAGCATAGATCATGAAACAGAAAAGTTTTCTTTTATTTTTCCCTGCAGTAGTACAGTTCAAAACTGTAAGGCATTTGTTTAAAGAGAGAGAGTGGAAAGTTTTCAAAGAGACCTGAGGGACGTTTGTTTCACACAGAGGGCGGTGGGTATGTGGAGTAAATTTCCAGAGAATGTGCTAGAGGCAGGAACAGTTACAACATTGAAAAGACATTTGTACAAATACATGAACAGGAAAGGTTCAGAGGAATATTGGATATTCAGAGGGATAAATGCAGACAAATAGGACTAGTTTATATTGGGAAATATGGTCGGCATATATGACTTGGACAGTCTGTTTCTGTGTTGTATAAACTGATGGCTCTGTGAGTTAGCAATCCATAGGCCCAGCATATCCTGTAATCTATCATTACAGTTTACTGAGGAGACACTGAGTGCAAGTCCCGACACTTCCCTTTCACATACGTGCTGCCAGTGTAGCTCTGGTTGTATTCAATGTAAATTCTTCATGACATTTACCTGGAAAATGCACCAAGTGAAGTTATGCACAGACTTCAAATATTAAATGCTATACATCTTTGAAACAATGCATTTCATTCTGTGTTTTTCTGCCTAATTTATTTCTGAGTATCTGATTTAACATTTAATTCATGATATGAATGCCAACATCCTGGTAAACTGTGTAAAGTCTGAGAGACCCGTTCTGAGGAAGGTTCACTCGATCCAAAATGTTAACTCTGATGTCTCTCCACAGATGCTGCCTGACCTGCTGAGCTTTAGTCCTGGTAAACGCTCAATGATAAAACTTCAGTTTGAGGGGGTTAATGAGGCAGATGAGCGCTTGGCCCAGTCACATGGATCAGGGGCTTGGTTCTCCCACATAGGGTCACATTCGGCTCAAATCACATTCTCATTCAACTGTCACAACAGGATCTAAATCCCTGATCTAAAATTGACCTCAGTCCTGCTATTCAACTTATATTGTTTATGGGCCAAAGCACTAAACATCACAGCTGATGTTTTGGAAGTTTATTTTCTGGTCTTCTATTCTAAAAAAAAGCTTACATGCAATTCTTAACACAGCATCTGCAAGTTCTGCCTGTGGAAACAGTATTAATGTTGGTGAACTAGGAATAGAAACATGAAAGATAGGATCAGGAGGATGCCATTCAGCCCTTCGAGCCTGCTCGGTCATTCATGATGATCATGGTTCATTGTCCAACTCAATAGGCGAAACCTACTTTCACCCATGACCTTAGATCCCATTCGTCCCAAGTGCTATAACTAGCCACCTCTAGAATTCATTAATGAGGGACAGCCAAACGTTTTGCAGAGATATGCTCAAATTCAATCCAATGCAGACGGTAAAATTTGAATTCAGTAAAATCTGGAATCAAAAATCAAGCTTCATGGTGCCCATATAATCATTGGTTTGAAACCCTACCTGTTTCACTTGTAAACTTTAGAAAAGGAAATACGCCATCTTTACGAGGTCTGGCTGACTCATGACTCCAGACAAATAGTAATGTGCTTGAATCTTATCCGCCCTCTGAAATGGCTTGAGCGAACTTCTCAGGTTGTCACATACTTATAGTAATTAAGGATGGATAATAAATGCTGATCGATTCAGTTACACTGACATCGCGTGAATAAAATAAACCCCTGATTAAACTTGTTGAAGTGGGGCCTTGATATTGACTGAATTTCAGTTTGGGTCATCTAGATTTTTGTTGGAGATGGAGGCTTTGTGGTGCTCTGCTATCCTGTGTACATGAACGCAAATTTTATTGAAGGTCTTGAGGTCATGAAGTCAATACAATGTAGCAGGAGGCAAATTCCTATGGAAAATCTTTAAGAAGTGGCTTCATGATTGCTGCTTTTACCATCCATGTGACTAACAAACCCCATTCATGACCACTCACCACTCGATGCCTTCCCCACAACTCTTCCTCAAAACCCTAAAGCCTGTATCCACTTAGTCCTTATACTATCTGCTAATGAGAATGGTTGTTGTTTATCTAACTTCATAATCTTGCACACTGCTTTCAAATCTCTGCTCAAGCTTTTTCATTTCAAGAGAATCAATTGGAACCATGTCAACTGAACCTTGCAGTTAAAATCTTTCAATGCTGGAACGAGACCTCGGCGTCCCTTCTACACCAGTCGCTGAAAGTAAGCATGCAGCTGCAGCAGGCGGTGAAGAAGAAAAATAGGATGTCGAACTTCAGAGCGAGACAGATAGAGTACTCGAGCAGGGATGTTTTACTGCAATTGTACAGGACCTTGGTGAGACCACTCCTTGAGTATCCTGTGCAGTTTTCTCTGCTTGCCTAACAAAAAGTGTTTTGGCTCTGGAGAGTGTGCAATGATAGTTTACCAGACTGATTCCTGACATGAAAGGACTGATGGATGAAAAGAGAATGGATCTGTTAGGATTATATTCACCATAGCTAAGATGAATGTTTTGATGTGTATTTCATCGAAACTAAAGAAATTCAAACAGGATTAGACAGGCAAAACACAGGGAGGATGTTCTCATGACGAGGACCTCCAGAACAAGGGGGTCACAATTGAATCATACAGCGTAGGGAACTTAGGGCTGACATGAGGAGAAATGTCTCCACACAGACAGTGGCGATCGTGTGGAATTCTCTGCCACATAAGACAGGTGAGGTTTCAACATTGAATATCTGCAAGAAAGAGTTAGATATAGTTCTCTGGCTTAAAGGGAACAAGGTTTATTGGTGAGAAAGTTGAAACAGGGAACTAAGTTCAATGATCAGCCATGATCATGTTGTTTGGCGAAGGAGACTCAAACGTATGAAAAGCCTAATCCTGCTTCTGTTATACGTTATATAATGACCAATAACATGCAGAGTAAGAATGGCAGAAGAGCTCAAACCACAGATTCCAGCCCCTGTTTCGTCCTTCTCAATGGTGTGAGGTTTGGGTAGAGGGAAAACATGACTAAGTATCAAATAACATTGTTCGTCATAATGCTGTATATGTGGTGTCCATATAATATGCCTGTAGCCATTCAAAAAATGTCTTGTTTCTCTCAAGCACAATTGCAGATGGAAATTAAATGAGATTCTTACTTTAACTGCTCACGTGAATCCTTCTAGATGTGGGTGGGCACCATGAATTGGAGTTAAGCTTACAACATTTATGAACGTACTAACGTACAAAGTCAACACAGAAGTGTACCATTATCCCCAAGCCTGTTCCGCCATTTGGTCAGATCATGACTTATTTGTTTGTATTTCAAATTATGCATTTCCAATTTTACTTTCATTTCCATTACTATCAAGAATCTATTTTCTGTTAAAATATTCAATGACACACACCCAACCCATAATCACCTTCTGAGTGAGTTCTAATCTTGCACAACCTTTAGAGAAAACAAAAATTCGCCTCATCTCATATGAGGACAAGCTGTAATTCCAAAACAGTGACACTCCATGACCGCTCAAACTCCACGGACCCACATGAGGAAACATTTTTCCCATTTGCAGTTAAAGCTGATTAGGATCTTACATGCTTTGATGCATTTTATATCTGCTCAGGGCCACATCAGAAAACAATATCAGGGAAAACTTATTTCCTGTTCTATTCAGGAGAGAGGGATAAATGATTTTGGATTTCTCATCTTCAGAACGAGGACAATAGTTAACCACATTTTCTCTCTGATTTGCACCGAGGCTGATCAGGATCAGAATTGTTATTCTGCCTCTTTGCAATTTGCCTGACAATTCCCGAAAGAGCACTGCTCTGAAGAAATTCTGACACCACAGTAATCCAGTTCAGCTGTGAAGTCGGCAGATAAAGATGGAAAAATTCGGAAATAATTCCGATTTTTGGCAGGAACATTTAGGAAAGAGTCAACTTTTCAGACTGATGCTCAACTGTCAGCACTTTATTGCACATATTCAGGCAACTGTAGTATCTTTGATGAAATTCAGAGCCTGTTTCCTATTAATCCCACTGCAGAGATGGGCAGATTTTCCACGTTTTCTCCACCCTCAGTTGGTATCTGTCTGAAGTCTCATTTGCCTACTTTTGCTTTTGGTCATCACTAATGAATTGCCACACAGCAAGTCTTGTAATAAGTCGATTTTTGGATGAACATAATCAGACTGAAGACTGTGATGCTGATAACTGAATTCTTTCCATCCTAGCGATTGTAGGCGGTTAGATTAAGTGAACTTTATGATGCATGACTCAAATTCTTCAATCTGTTCCATAATTTAATGATTTGCTTGAAGGGGTATGTCATTGCATTCTTCAGCTCTTCCCTGAATTTAGCCTGGATCACAGCATAAATACACGTGTTGGTGCAGGAGCTGAGCACTTGCAGCATCTTCGCTGTGCGATCTGTGATAAAGCAAGGGTCTGTGTAGGAGTCATAAAATCGGATATCTCTAATACGTGAATAAATATTGTACACAACTTTGGTCACCCACAAGAGCACAAAACTGGCCGATATACTGAAAAGCAAAACGATGGACTTCCACCGGTTTTCAATCTCCACATCCTTATGTTTCTCTCCACTTCTTTGACCACGGAGACCTCGACGGATTTGACTGCTCACTATAATGCGCCTGACAGTCAACGCATTGAACAGCAAGATTAGAAAGAATGGCACACAAGGGGTTAAAATACCATTGATAATTTCAAACGCAAGCCATGCAGGGGAACTGAAATAGCTCGATTTCTGGATGCAACCCCATGGAATATTATCAATGATGTACCGTGGCTCATATATGAAATACCAGGGTAGAGATTCCAGACAGCCCAGCACTGTCACAGTCACTAGACATGCCGCTGCAGTTCTCTCGGTGCAAAATTTTGCTTTCAATCTCTCATAGCATATGGCCGCAAATCGGTCAAAAGTGAATGTGACTGTGAGCCAGACAGAAATCACTGTGGCTGCTGACCCCAAGGCAGAAAAAAGACTACACATGGGAGTAAGTCTCGCAAATGAATTTGGTAAATAAATTGGAACAGTGATCCACAATATGGCATCAAAGACAACGACAAGGAGATCAGCCACTGCCATTCCAATCAAGTAATAAGTGATGCACTTGGAGAGACCACACTTTCCGTGGGACAGGATCATTATTGCCACCAGGTTAACTAGGGTGGAAGACATTCAAATAGAAGTAAACAGTTACAGATCATGTCCTGAATCAAAGAACAATATGACAGAACCTAGGGAAAAATGTCCACATTAGATGTTGCACTACAGGTCTAAACTGAATTATTGCATAATTTCCTATAACTATATGCTTGAAGCACAATTACCAACACAGCATTTTGGAATCCACAGCACAAGTAAATAAAGTAAGCAAAGGAGGTTTATAGTCTATCACTAAGGTTAAAATGAATTTCCTTGAAGAATGAAGGAGCAGATAAACTGGCAGAATTTAATGATTAGAAAACGTGTTTGTGCAAAATACACAGTGATAAGTAATGGCAATTAAGCAGCAAAGTTATCACCAGTTTGTATCAGGAACACTTGCGATAAAAGCTTACCAGAAACACCAATGGCTGAAATAAGAGGAAAGAAAATATCTTCTATTTGCCATACAATTGGGTATGCCATTTCTGAGATTCGCAACAACTTCAGTTGTTCCGTGTTTCACACTTCTGGTAGGAACTGTGAACTGATCTATTCCAACCTATCATGATTTATAGAGAGGGCAAGTCTCCTGTGACATAGTTACCCATGAGATCGCTATTAGTAAAACCAAGTTGAGCAAACAAATTACATCAACAGCTTTGACTATGAAGTGATTACTGTTGTGGGTAAAACACGACCATCTCAAAATTCAGTAGTCAACATAAGTTCTACCCTTATGCAATGAAGCTAAAAGTGCATGCAGAAAAGTCTGATCCCACAGAGCTTCTGTGTAAACCATCGCCCTGTTTGTTTAAGTTAACTTAATTGTTGCTGTTATAGAACGTAGACAGTCTCTAGAAACATAGATTTGTTCTGTTTCTGCCGATTCCCAGTTAAAAATACAAACTTCAATTCTCTAAGGACATTGAATTCTGTCTCTCCATTTGAGGTGGTGGGATCCCGAGAGTTCAATGTCTGACAACCTGTTGGTGAGGGCATATTTGAGAAGTCAATCTTTACTCAGTTTATGATTTATTTCTAAGTTGGCGAATTGCGGCCATACATATCCTAACTCCAAAACATAACTACACGGCCAGGACATTAAACAATTGCAATGAGGCAATTAATGCCCAATTCTCTAAACCTAACCTTAACCCTGATCTAAACGACAACCCGAAGTCTACACTGAAGTTTATTTTGTACAATTAACTAAGAAAAGGAGTATGCTCTTTCTTTCTCTGCCTCATCATTAAGAAATTATGGTTACATTTCAATGTAGCCTGAGAGGCAAGTTTTTTGCCGTTTTGACTTTTTAAATTCTCTCGAGGGACATGGGCACCACTGACTGGTTCATCATTTATCATCATCCCAAAATGCCGTTTGAGTAGGTGCTGGTTTGCTGCTTATTAAAACTGCTGCAGTCTATATGCTGTAGGTAGAATCAGAATATCATAAGGGAGGGAAACATGGAATTTGTAACAAGGAACGCTGAAGATATGTGGTTCAATATGGTAACACAACTGAGTGGTAACACATCAAGGAGCAGTGGTTAGTTGGACTCCTGTTGGGGGTCGTCATTGCCTGCCACGTCGTGAAAATATCTCCTTTCACTCCTTAGCCTAAGCCTCAATATTGTCCAGAACTTGTTACATTTGTACAAGGACTCCTTTGGCATCTGAGGAGTGGTTAATGGTGCTGAACATTGTGCAATCATCAAGCATCCTCACTTCTGACCTTATGATAGAGGGAAGGTCTTTGATGAAGCAGCTGGAGATGCTTGGGTTTAGAACATTCCCCTGAAGAACTCCTGCCGATTTGACATTATTGGCTTCCAACAACATCAAACCATCTTCTAATGTGCCAGGTATGACTCCAACTAGCCGAGTGTTTCCATCTTGATATCCATTGATTCTAGTTTTTCTCCTTGATGCCACACCTCAATTTCTAGTGTAGCTTTTCTCACCTCACCTCACTCCCCACTTACTCAATTCAATTTATTTGTCCATTTTTGAACCAAGGCTGGAATGAAGTCAGGAGCTGAGAGGTCCTGGTGGGAACTGGGCATCACTGAACAGGTAATTGTTAAGTTGATGCTACTTGCTATCACTGTTGTTGTGAACTTCCAACACTTTACTGATGATTGAGAGTAGACTGATGGGGTGGAAATTGGCCAAGTTAGATTTGCCTACATTTATTGTACAGGAAGTACGGGGACAATTTTCCATGTTGTTAGGTAGTTGCCAGTATTGCTACAATGTACAAAAGCCTGGCTCTGATGTAGCGTGATCGGGACCACAAGTCTTCAATGCTATTGTCAGGGTTCATAGCCTTTCGCAGTATCCAGTGCTGTCAGCCATTTCTTGACATCACGTGGAGTCAATCAAATGGCTGAAGACTGGCATCTGTGTCGTTTGGGGCTGTCTGGATCCAAATTTAAGAAGCAATTGCATCAAGGCGTGTGGTTTTGAGCAGTTCTCTTATATTAGAGACTCCAGTGATTGTATTCAGTTTTCAGTTCGTCTGATTTCAAAGTTTTGTCTTCCAGGCTTTCAGCTCACTTGATCTCTTCTTGAAACCTATTCAACGACACAAAAAGAAAGACCATGTCCAAGGTGGCTCAGAAAGAAATCCAGTGAGTTAAGGACATCCACACAACAGATCTCACCATATAGAAATTGTGGGAGAATGTTTAAAACTATCAACAAAAGAGTGAGTTAAATCTGTGAAGGGGTAGAACCCAGGTCACGAGATGAAGTCATATAATACTTTCATGTTGAAAAACTGTCAAAAATATCTTTGGATACCATCAAACTGACATTTTGAATCTTTATTTGGTTAAAGAAAGCATTTTCTAGACCTTTATGTCAAGACCACCTTCAAAAAGAAACAACACAAGTTTCCAGACAAAGCATTTCTCATGACAAATTCAGAGTTCAAATTGGATGTCTTCCAAACAATGTTTATACATGTTTGACAACGAGCGAAACAACTTTTAATCACAAGTCTCTTCAACAGAATTCCTAGGAAAGATACTTTTCTCATATTTCCAATCAGACAAGATTCTGTTGAACCTATGATGTTGTCGAATGGTTCCATGTGTTAGTATTGATTTCAGTTGAGTATAAGGGATGCTATCATTGTAACTTGCATGGAAACAGTTTGCGAGTATGATGCAATGTTCACACAGGGCTTCTTTAACATCACTGTGGGAAAGAGACTTGTTGGTCTCTTCCTCAGCTGTGTCTAAGTATTGTACTTATTTTCTCACTTTTTGCATTAGACCATTATACACCGGCTTTACCTCACCACCAGAGATGAATCAATTTGGGAAGCACTAACAACCCCATTCTCGAGGTGAACTGCGTTGTCTTGTAGAGTAAAACCCCCAGTTGCTGGCTGTTCATGGTTTTCTCTCTGGTGTGATTTGATTTTTGCTGTATTGTTATAAAGTGGAGGTTGGTCCCCACACTGAGAACTAAATCCAAAACACCGAAAGAGGAGCACCTCACCGTATAATCTCGAAAGGAGTGTGAAAAGTGAGGTAACGTGCCTTTAAGCAACATCTAGTGGTTAAATAAAATAAATCCCTGACACTCATTTTAAATCCAACAAGTAATAATTTATTTGTCTAACTCCAACAGGGAACAAATTAACTAAACTATTAACAAACCGAATAAACACGTGCTAACTACTACCTATTTCTGAATAAAGCAAGATTCTAATGGTACGCTGTTCCAATAAATATGAGTCCCCCTTATAAAGAGAGAGAAAAAAATGAATTCTTGCAATTGCAGTCATAACGCATGTCTTCCGGCATATCTTGTGCTATCTCCATTGAATCTTCTGTCAGGAATGCCTTCCCCATCGATTCTTCAGTCAGGAATATTAACTAGTTTTGCCATGGGTACCATTGTTAAATCAGTAGAGTAAATAATAAATAATGTAGTGCTTTCTCTAAGGCATAGAGAAAGACCTGAGAACCAACGATTCTCTCATGGGACCTGAGGTCTGCTAGCTCTGGTGGATTGCAGTTAGCTCTGTGCTTTGTCCAACTGAAGATACAAACCTGAACACATGCACGAGCAGGTTCAGGAACAACTTCTTCCCAGCCATTATCAGACTGTTGAATGGAATCTAGCCTCAAATAATGTAACCTGCAATGTTATCTGTATGCCTCTAAATCTTTTTGATCTGTATATCCATTGCTTGCTGTGATCTTCCTGTGCCTATCTGCCTCATAAACAAAGCTTTTCACTGTACTTTCACATGACAATAAATCAATCAACTATGTGGTTAATTTATGAACTTGGTGCTCATGTTTTGTTATTTTTAGATTCTGGATAGGACGGATTGAGCAATGTTGACGTGCAGTAATTTTTAAAAAATTTCACTGTGTGGCGAATCCAGTGTTAGTGACTCTGATTTGCTGTGACTTGTGATCCCTCTGTCATTACGGTAGTATGTTTTCCAAAATGTGCAAGTACACACACAATAGTTCTGAATTTGGACAGTTCTCAGTGGCTGAGACCTGCATTATTTTTAAGCCCGACTTAACTCCGCATAATGGAGCTTTACTGATGCTACTTTGAATGCATGAATTCTTGAGTAGGTGGAATAAACCTTTCAACAGCTGTTAAAATGGATCAATTCAGGACAGGCAACAGGAAGTATTTGAGGGAACTGGCCTTCATCAGTCCGGGCGTTGAGTACAGCAGTTAGGAAGTTATCTTGCATTGCACTGGACGTTGGTGAGGCCGCACTTGTAGTATTGTATTAATTTTTTAAACATTGCCATCGGAAGGATGTCATGACACTGGAATGAATGCAGTAGAAATTTACAAGGATGTTGCCAGGACTCAAGAGAGGCGATGGCCGAGTGTTATTATTGCTGGAGTGTTAATCCAGAGAACCAGGTAATGTTCTGAGGACCGGGGTTCAAATCACCGCCATGGCAGATGGTGGAATTTGAATTCAATAAAATTCAATAATAACACTAGGCCATCGCCTCTCCTACAGGTCTGCCAGATCAGTCCTACTGCTGGTCAATCACTCCAATAAGGATACATGGGGACATTAGGGGAGGGAAGAAGACTTTCCTCTGAATTCCCATGGCGTAAAATTGTCTGCAACAGATTACTGTCCTGCATTTCAAATGATGACTCCAAGCTCCATTCTCAGACTTTTGGTACATAAGTATTTACAGAGGGGAGCTCAAAGCAAACATCACATAAAGTCCAAGAGAATCATCAGGACTTGAATATTATTAACCTCCTCACATAGCCCTAAAAAGCTTGGAGATAGGAAGAAATGCAGATCCTGGAGTCAGAGACAAAATAGTGCGGAGCTGGAGGAACACAGCAGGCCAGACGGTATCAGAGGACTAGGAAAGTTAACAATAAAATTAAGCATCTAGTGATGACCATGAACCCATTGTAGATTATTGGGAAAATTCATCTGGTTCACTAATGTCCTTTAGGGAAGGA